AATGCCTTTATTTTTATGTGGTGCTGAGGATCAAACCCGGGTCCCACTCGTGCTAGGCGAGCAATCTACCGCTGAGCCACAATCCCAGCCCCCTAATTTAGATTCTATATTGGACATTTTTCATGTTACATGAATTCTGGGTCCTCTTAAAATTCATTAGAAAATGTTGGAAGATTTACAAGTCAACCAGGTCAGGAAATAACTTCAAGTTCTTTCTCATTTTACAAAGATGGTGGTTTTGTAAGTTTCCAGAGTCTTTGTTATGTTTTGAGTTTGCACCTCCCAGTTTCACTTAGTTTTTTTTTTTTTTTTAAAGAGAGAGAGAGAGAGAGAATTTTTAATATTTATTTTTTAGTTCTCGGCGGACACAACATCTTTGTTGGTATGTGGTGCTAGGGATCGAACCCGGGTCGCACACATGCCAGACGAGCGCGCTACCGCCTGAGCCACATTCCCAGCCCCAACACTTAGTTTAATCTAGAACTTAGGCAATGATTTGTTAATAGTTGTCCTAGAATACTTTGTTGATGTTGTTGTTTTAGGAACACCTAAGGCTGCGTTAGTTCTCAGCGCTGTCATAACAAAGTAACACAAACTGGATGGTCCTAATTTTGGAACCTTTTGAAAGTCTGATGTCTGAAATCAACATGTAAGCAGATGAGCTCATATCATAGCAAGGATCCCTAAAAGACCTTGAAAAGTCTTCTTTGTCATTGAGATATTTCAGAGTTAGGTACCTGAGTTATAACTGTGAAAACAAAGTAAAAAGTAACTTGGGATTTCTCAGAGGAAAAGGAAGGAAATATTATTATTATTATTATTGTTGTAAACAATCTTTTTTTAAAAATATATTTTAGTTGTAGTTGGACACAATATCTTTATTTTTAGGTGGTGATTAGGATTGAACCCAGTTCCTCACACATGAGAGGTGGGCGCTCTAACACTGAGCTACAGCCCCAGCCCAACAGTCATTTTTTATGATTTCTGAATCACAAACACAGAATATCTGTGTTTTCTTAGAAAATTTCTGACCTCTGTTGTATCTAAAATTTAGTATTAGTGAAGTATTTTTCATCTTTCTTTTATACTACCATGAAAAGAAAATAATACTGCAGTAAATATGACAACACAATATAGTTTCTAATATGCTCAAAATGTTTGAGCTGATTATGAACCCTATAGAAAATTTTAAAACTGCATTTGAATTCTGTGGAAAAAAAAAGTAAAGGTCTGACTCCTGGCCATATAATAAACAAACCTACAAATATTTGTGTAAATACACTTGAAATTCTAAATAAGGTTTTAGGGGCTGGGGTTGTGGCTCATTGTTGTAGAGCTTGTCTGGCACTTTTCAATCCTTAGTACCACATAAAAATAAAATAATGGTATTGACATCACAACTTAAAAAAATAAAATAAATAAGGTTTTGATCCACAAATTGCTTTTATAAAGTAACAATGTGGTTTAGAAAAAAAAAGTGCCAGCAGACCCACACTTACCTCACAGATGACACAGAAGAGTTCTTCTTAACTCTTTCTTGTTTCTGATAGTTGCTGCGAATCCTTTGTATTACTTGGCCTGAAGATGCCTCATTCTGATCTCTGCCCTTTTCTTCTCTTGGTTTCCTTCCTTGATCTTCTCAGTGCCTCTTTGTCCTGTCCTATAATTCTTTTTTTTTTTTTTTAAGAAAGAGTGAGAGTGAGAAAGAGGGAGGGAGAGAGAGAGAACTTTAATATTTATTTTTCAGTATTTGGCGGACACAACATCTTTGTCTGTATGTGGTGCTGAGGATCGAACCCCGGCCGCACGCATGCCAGGCGAGTGCGCTACCACTTGAGCCACATCCCCAGCCCCTGTCCTATAATTCTTAAGCCTTGTTCCACATATGCACACCTTGCAGGTAGGACTTGGTTCAGATACATTATGGAGTTTACGTCTCCATGTGTTATGTTCTCAGCGATTTCCTCCAAACTCTTCAATTCTATGGGCATTTTCTTTACTTCCCTAGTCAGAAACCTGGTGTTCTTTCAGTTTTAGTCGCCTGCCCATGCCTTGGAGTGAAAGAACAAGGAGGGTAGTGGATAAAAAGGTGGGGAGGACAACTCTCCTATTCTCTTCTTGCCCCAACAGCAGCCTATTTTCTAATTTCCTCTGCTCAGAGTGCGACTTCACAGAATAGTTATGTAACTGGGGGTGGTCCGGAGAAAGAGAGGAGGGGAAAAAAAGAAGAGAAAGATTCTCTGTACATTCTCTAGGAGTTTTTACCTCATTCTCTGCCCCAMGCCCCCAAAAATGCACTTCTCTTTTTTGACTGATCACATTCATTATGTGATTTTCCTAATTGGTCCAACCTTGACTACCATCTTATTGGTTGTTCTTCACTGCTTCCCCAACCCCCATTTGGCCTGCTTTTAATTTTCAGAGTTCGCTGTGAGTTGAACTTTGTTTTCTGTCTATAATTTTTAATTGTAATCAATGGGAGATAGAAATACAGTGGGCTGGCTGTACTCCATAATGACTAGAATCAAAAGGCAGATTGATTTGTTTTCAAATTAATGAAGATTGCAGTAATTTTTGTTTATTTGCTGTTTAGCTTGTTCTCCATGGTTTCCGTTACCCACTGTCAATCAATAGTATGAACATATTAAATGTTCCAGAAATGAACAATTAATACGTTTTTTTTGGTACTGGGATTGAATGCAGAGGTGCTTAACCACTGGGCAACAAGACAGGGTCTCACTCAGTTGATGAGGCTGGCTTTGAACTTGTGATCCTCCTGCCTAGTTGCTGGGATTACAGGTATGCACCACTGTGCATGGCCTAACAATTAAATTGTACACTGTTCTTGGCACTAAGATAAAATCTGAAATCTCAAGAAGTGAACCATCCCTTTGTCTGGTGTATTTACCTTGGCTACACTCTGCTTGGTTAATCACTTAATAGCCTTCTCAGTTATCAGATCAGGTGTTGAGGTATCAGAGTATCAGGTGTTCACTGGGGGGTCTTGTGCCCTGTGAATAACATGTAAACATACAAGTTTTATGTGACTAAATGGACCCACTTAAGGGTAGAGTTTTGAATTTTGAGAAATGTATACCCTCAATCAGCTGCATGAGATTAATTTTTTTGTAACCTTTGGTGCTTAGTTCAAAAAGGGAGTCAGGGCTGGGGTTGTGGCTCAGAGGTAGAGTGTTCACCTAGCCTGTATGAGGCGCTAGGTTTGATCCTCAATATCACATAAAAATAAAATAAAGATATTGGGTCCACCTATAACTAAAAAATAAATATTTAAAAAAAACTTAAAAAGAGAGTCAGTACATTTACCTTACAGAGTGTTTTGAGAATTAAATGAGGTACATAAAGTATCTTGTACAGGGCCTAGTTAGTATACAATAAACACAATGTAAGTATGATCCCTCATCAACTTTCCTTATTTGCAGTGCACATAAATGACTAGCCATTGATACAGGGACTATCTAAAAATTGTTTAGTGCAATAGATCAGGTACTGAGCAAGGAAGAGCCCAAGGAGGCTCTTCCCCAAACCTACTAAATAAAATTATTAGGATAGAACCTAGGTATTTATAAGACTTTGCATAGTGAGTTTTGATAAATTAATARTAGGCTGGAACCAGTGATTAATATTGGAACTCAAGACACAGAAGAGGCACACTGGCAATAAGTCATTCTCTCTCTTTTTTTCTGCTTTTGCAAGTTGAGACTCTTGACAATTCCTAAAACATTTTTGCCCAATCCCACTATGTAGTGGAGGAGAATGTAGTGTGCTGGATGTCATATTAAAGCGAACTGATTCTAGTGAATGCCATTAAACTTAATTCTCTCAGTTGATTTTTATACAAATAAACATATATTTATGATTAGTTCATAGGTTTCTTTTACATTTTAACAGTTTTTAGATTGATGATGTGTTTCTGGAGTTTTGAGTTAAAGAAGGATTGTTAAGGTGTCTTGGTCTAAGAAGTAAGAAGCACATAGGTAAATTAGGAAAATGTGCCTGGGTGGGTGATACAGTATCTGTGTCCTTTGCTTTTTTGTGAGGTAGAGTAGACATGAATGTATGTGACTTTTCTTTACAAACGGCAATGTTGGCAACAGTTTATATCCCTTTCATGACATTTTTATAGAAGATTATTTTAAATCAATAGTTAACTAATACGTTGATCTAACTACAGAGAAATTAAAATTTTAGTCCATAGAGATCACTTTTTTTGTGGGGGGTGGGTAGTACTAGGGATGAAGCTTGGGACTCTGGTTTATTCTAGGAGAATAAACTACTACTGCTTTGTAAGTTGTTATTATATATGAAAAATAAAAAGCCAATTTAGGTTTGAGTTCCACTTCTAACATTGTAACTTGTGCTAGTATCTTTGAATGAGTCAGGTTTTTGCTAAACTCTTAGACCTGGTTGTGCTGTAAGTCAAAATTCAGTACCCAAATAGTAAGCACATTAGTTTTGTGGGAAATTGAGGTGTTTTTTTTTTTTTTTTTTTTTTTTTACCAGCACTGAATGATAGGGCAAGGTGAAAGTGCAGCCTAAGTGCATGCTGTATATTATTACATGATACAGATAATTTTTCATTTAGATTAACTGAATGAATGGTTTCGACTCATTTGAACTCTTTGATACAAAAAGTCTCAGATATTTTTATTGATTATATTTAGTGTGCTCATTGGTAGTCTGTTAAATCTCAGTTGCAAAAAAAAAATTAATTAGAGCTTGATTTAGTGTAGTAACTTACTTTGTAATTTCCTTTTCTTTTGGCTTATTTTGACTCCTATAGAAACCTGAAAGTGTGGCGGAATATTTTTAAATAGTCTTACCTTGCAATTAAAATTTTGTGTATTCTTAAAGGGAATAAAAATATATTCAAGGAAAGGAAACTTGGGTGGAGTATTATGGAAGCTTAACATTTATTGAACTTCTAGGTTAAATTTAACAATGCAATTAATTTAAAATGACTCTCTTTCCCTCCTCTTTAGAATCCAGCTACTATCACAAGAATACTCCTTAGCCACTTCAATTGGGATAAAGAGAAGTTAATGGAAAGGTAAGGAACTATATTTTCAGCTTTGTATTTAGAACAGAGAAAGCCTGTTGAACTGAACTTGTAAGAAGTAGGGAGTTAATATGTGAATAAACCAATGTGTAAATAATATAACTACTTTAATTTCTTATATTTTTCATCTGTGCACTTTGCAGTAAACTTAGTATTAGGGAATTCAGACTTAATTATCTTATTTTGGAGGTAAAGTGAGTGCTCTACTTAAGTACCAAGAATTAAAAGTAGATTGAGGGAAAAACGGCACTTGATACATTCTTGGAGCACACAAATAAGATCTTCCTTTAATTGCTTAAAAACATGTCTTGTTCATAAACCTTAAAGTCCATATTAAGCATTAAAATGACATTTTATTCAGTGAAAACAAAATTGAAAAGTTGTCTAGTGTTTCCTGGGCACCAAACCAGCTATTTGTGTGGTTCTCTGATTTCAGGTAGGATTCTATCTTATTTATTGGGTATTTTTCTATTTTCTTTGAAAATCTTTCTAGTTCTAAAAGAGAAAAAATCATTTGGATTAGAAACTGTCAGTGCCATCATTTATCTTTTTCTGTGTCTTAGATTGAAAATTTGGGACATTTAATAAGGAGGTAGAACTTGTATTTATTCTCTCAACCTTATAGTTAGCGATCTTAGTTATAATAAATAATTACGACTCCTTTTTTTGGGAACTGAGAATTCAATATTGGGGGAAATAAGTGTAAAATATTGCCCATTTGGTTGTAAAACTCACAGAGCTTTGTAAAACAGATGTTAGATAATACCAAGAATGTAACATTTCATGCACCTTGTGTCCTATCTACAGTTCAGTAGTAACATTAATAACTATCATCTTTTGAGTACCCTCTGTGGGGCATTATTAGATTTTATCCTCCAGATAGTTTTTATGAGGTTAGAAACTATTATTGCTACTTAATTGATATGAAGACTAAGGTTTAGAACTTAAGTGATCTCCGTTTATAACACAGGGATTTAATTAGCAGCAGTATAAAAGTGTTCCTTTTTTCTATTTTCAGAAAGATTTATTGGATTCCAAAGCATATATTATAAACAGCTTGACCAGGATTCATGAAGGACTAGTGAGATTTTAAAAAAAAATCTGTGCTAGGAATTGAACTTAGGGCCTTACCCATGCTAGGCAAGTGCTCTACCACTGAACTATATACCCCAAGTTGTTTTTTTATTGGAGCACTATAGTGACGGTCCATGCACAGAATGTAGCAATATAATTTGGCCAATATCACTCTTCTGTGCTGCTTCCCTATTTCCCCATCTCTTACCTCTTGGCCCCTTTCCTTATTAATCTCCGTTTGGTTTTCATAAGATTCTTACCCCACTTCCACCCCTTTTTCCTTTTTCCTCTCTAGCTTTTACATATGGGAGAAAAGATACAACCCTTGACTTCCCGAATTTGACTTCTTTTGCTCAACATAATGGTCTCTTAATTTCATCAAGTTTCCTGCAGATGACATAATTTCATATGGCTGAATAAACTCCATTGTGTATATATACACACCTCATTTTCTTTATCCATTCACACATAGGCAGTTTCATAATTTGACTGTTGTGAATTGTGYGTGTGCATGTATCACTATAGTGTGATGACATTAATTTTATATAAGTGTAAATATTGAGTAATGATACAGCTGGGCCATATGGTAGTTCCATGTCTATTCTTCTGAGAAACCTCCATACTGATTTCYATAGTGGTTGTACTAATATACAATCTGACCAACAGTATAAAGGTGTTCCATTTTCTTCACATCCTACCCAGCATTTATTATTGTTTGTAATCTTGATGATTGCCATTTTTAACTGGGGTGAGATAAAATTTCACTGTAGTTTCATTTCTGTAACTGGTAATAATTTTGAACATTCTTCATACATTTGTGGCTATTTGTATTTCTAATTTTTGAGAAGTGTCTGTTTTAAATTAATTTGTCGAATTTCTAATTAATTTATTTACTTTTTGTGGTGCTGGGGATTGAATCCAGGGCTTTGTGCATGTGAGGCAAGCACTGTAACAACTGAGCAATATCCCCAGCCCCAAATTTGTCCATTTATTGATTGGGTTATTTGATTTTTGTGGTGATACTTTTTTTTAATTTGTTAATGGATCTTTATTTATTAATTTATATGTGTTGCTGAGAATCAAACCCATTGCCCCACACATGCTAGGCAAGTGCTCTACCACTGAGCCACAACCTCAGTCCCTGTGTTAAGGTTTTTGAGTTCTTTATATATTTTGGATACTAATCCTCTGTCAGAAGAGAAGCTAGCAAAGATTTTCTCCCATTCTGTAAGTTGTTTTTTCTTATTCCTAATTGTTTCCTTTGYTGTGCAGAACAGTTTGAGGGGTATTGACATTGGTTTTTCTTTAAGGTTTTGTAGAATTCAGCTGAGAATCCATCTGGTTCTGGACTTTTCTTTGTTGGAAGGCTTTTTGTTACTGTTGCTGTCTCATTACAAGTCTGCTTAGGTTTTCTATGTGATCTTGATTCAGATATACCATTTGTATGGTATATAAATTTCCATCCTTTCACTTTCAGCCTGTGGCTATCTTTGCCTATTAAGTGCATCTCTTGCAAATAGCATATAGTTCGGTTTTGTTTTTTAATCCATCCTGCTAGCCTGTGTCTTTTTTWAAATTATTTTTATTTAAAAAATTATTTTTTACTTGTAGTTGGACACAATACCTTTATTTTACTTATTTATTTTTATGTGGTGCTGAGGATTGAACCTAGGGCCTCATGCATGCTAGGCGAGCACTCTACCACTGAGCCACAACCCCAGCCCCTAGCCTTTGTCTTTAATTGGAGTGTTGAAACCATTTACATTTAATGTTATTACAGAGAGATGTTTATTAATTCATGCTGTTGATCATGTTTAATTTGATCACGTTTCTCATTAGTTAAGTTCTATGGAGCTGGTTTAGTAGTCATCAGTTCCTTTAGTTTCTACTTGTCTTGGAAGGTTTTTATTTCACGTTTGATTTGGAAAGATACCTTTTTCTGGATCAGCAGTCTTGGTTGTTGACAGTTACTTTCTTTCAGAACTTGGAACACATCATTCCAAGCCCCCTGGCTTTTGGAATTTGTGCTGAGAAATCAGAAGTGATTCTGATTGGCTTGCCTCTAAATATTTTCCAACTTTTTTCTCTTGAAACTTCTAAAATTCTATCCTTGTTCTTTATGTTAGGCATTTTAATTATGAACCCAGCACCTCACACATGCCATGCAAGTGCTCTACCATCGAGCCACAACCCTAGCCCCTTATTTTCTTTCATGTTGTCTGAATATTCAAGGATGGCTACATGGTCTTCCAGCTCTGAAATTCTGTCTTCAGCATGGTGTACTCTATTAGAGAGGTTTTCAACTGAATATTTTATTTGATTTTATTGTGTCTTTCATTTCCAAGCTTTGTTTGGTTCTTTTTCAGTATTCATCTCCTTATCGAATTTCTCATTTATATCCTGTACTGTCTTCCTTAATTCATTCCATTCTTTATCTATGTTCCTTGGAATTCATTGTCATTTTTATAATGATTCTTTTGAATTCTTCATGTGATATTTTACCTACTTCAAAAATTTTGTGGTCAGTTGCTGGTGAATTATGGACCTTAAAATGTGTTGTATATGGCTGGGGTTGTAGTTCAGTGATAGAGCGCTTGCATAGGATGTGTGAGGTGCTGGGTTTGATCCTTAGCACCATATAAAAATAAACAAATAAGTAAAATAAATGTACCGTGTCTATCTAGAGCTAAAAAATATATTTTTTATTAAAGAGATGTTACATAGCCTTGTTTTTTCCTTTTTCTTGTATTTTTCTGTGTTGAGTTTTATGCATCTACTCTTATGTGTGGGCCTTTTTAGGGCACAGTGTTTAGTTGTCAAAATGTCCTAGAGTGATCTAGATTGAGAACCAACCTCCCTTGTACCTGTGGTATTCAGAGCCTTTGTGTTAATTCTCTCTTTTTGCTGTAGCCATTTCTACTTGGGGCCTGGTCCTTAGCTTGGGATTTTGTCTCTTCTATTCTTTGTGTTAAAGTGCAGCTGAAATTTGAGTGTCATTAATTTGTGTGTGGAGCAAAGTGCAACTAAAGCATTTTGGTTGAGTTAAAGTTCAGCAGCAGACTCTCTACCTGTGAACTTGTAGCATTCCTGTAAGTTCCCAGGACCTCATGGAAAGGGTAAAATAAATAATAGCAACAACTGAAGCAAACAATATATAGCATTAAAGTAAATAACCTGATTCCTACTATGATATCTACAATGATTTTAAGCCACAAACCCCAGAAATGGTAGAGTCAGCAATTACCAACAGCAAAACAAACAAAAAACCACAACAACAAAAAACCCACACATAAACTAGTTCTGGCATTAAAGCAAACAGAAATCAGTTATGCCAGTCACCACAGTAAAAACTGYACCAACATTAATGATGGGGGCAGGAGTTACATAAACCAATTATTCCTAAAAGATTTTAGAAATATAGTTAATATAAGGACATGTGATAGAGAGACAGAAGAGTTTATAGTTTGAAAAAGTGAACAGAGAGAATGCAGAAAAGATGTAGCAGGTGATGGTTACAAGGAAGGAGTAGAAAATAAAGGGAGAAAGAAAGAAAACAGGGCTGGGGATGTGGCTCAAGCGGTAGCGCGCTCGCCTGGCATGCGTGCGGCCCGGGTTCGATCCTCAGCACCACGTGCAAACAAAGATGTTGTGTCCACCAATAACTAAAAAGAAATAAATATTTAAAAAAAAAAAAAAA